ATGTTTTCAACTCTGGTGCGCGGGATGGTGCTTTCATTTTCCTGTTGGGGTAAGCATGCTCTGATTAGAAATAAATGCGCCCCTGCGTAAATGCTTCATGCTGTAAGGCGTGGGTTGAAAGTTGATCAAATAAAAATGTGAAAACTAAAGAAAGCTCGCTCTTGCTTGCTACGTTTTGCCCACCGCAATGCTTTTTCTTTGTTCTATGCGGCGATGTTGCATGTCCTTAAAGTTAATGTAAATTAATGTGCGAGAATGCCAACATTTCTGACTCACTTTGGAAAAGCAGGCCTCGGGTTTACTGAGAGCCGCGTCATCACCCCGCCGAAATCACGCCGAGAGTAGATTTGGCTACGCTAACACTGAGTGTGTTGAAAAGGAATTCTTCTCTTTAAACATTGTAATTTCATAGTGATATTTTGCGACATTTTAGCTTAGAACTAGGAAAGCGAGGCCCTTTATGCTCTTTCATGCCGTGAGCTGTCATTTTACTTCAAACAGCGGCTTGTTCTTAAACGATAACGCCAGTTGTGAACACGCGGCTGCTTAGTACCAACGCAGTACAGCATCTTTACGCCGTGCGCAATACTCGGCTTTCTCACGCCAGATGAAAGAAATGTGGGCAAATGAAATTAAGACGCTTTTTATTTTCCCGTTTGCTTTCAAAACATTACGAATCGGGCATAACCGCAGCTGGGACACAACAGACCTTAGACGAAGCCACTTGACGTTATCGAGACTGAAAACGATCACAATCCACTGTTACATGTAACTGCAGGTTTTCCATCTTCAGTGACGTTTTTGCTATGTTCTTTCCCCGAAGGATGTCTCCATTTAACATGTCGATAATTTTACTTTCATGTGTCGCGTGTGATGCATTTAAGCATCCGCCGTGGGTGCATCGGCACTTTCTTCCACCGGAGCAGATTCGTCCGGCGATGCGGCTTCTTCAGCATCTGTCGGTGTTTCAGTTTGTCCCCCTGCAGCACAGACCTCCGTTGGACACTCTTCTTCCTGTGGAGGCTCGGGCTCAACGTTTTCTTGACTTGCTGACGGCGACGACTTCTTTTTGCCTCCTCCAAAGCACGCAAATATACCAAAACGTCTCTTTTTACCACCCATGATTATAGCGGTATAAAAGTGGCAGTAAAAAGTTTTATTTCATTATGGTATATCTAATACAGACGCATCAGTTAGCACAAAGAGCAACAATCCAAAATAGCACATTATTTTTTTCGGAGCACGCAAAATATTGCACGAGCCTTTTTGATCGGGAGGTACCTACAGGTTAAATTCGAGATCAATTGAGTTAAAAATAATTCATAACAGGTTTTTTTGTCGGTAAGCGAGCGGGATGCAGCTGAACGGAATGTGTCACGGAAGGCAGCATGAAGTCATAGATGAAAATTTCCATCTATTTTTGGAGGGGTCCGGCAGATGATTGTTTCAATCTTAATATTAGTTGTGGCGTAAAAATAATTCACAAAAGACTCCAATACATCCTACCCAAGAATGTTGTAACATCCATCCCACCCAAGAATGTTGTAACATCAAGATTATTGGGGTCCAGCCTGCTCTGATGCTGTTTGACATCGTCAAAGCACAAAAAAGCACGTTCCAAACATTTATTGGGGTCAGATTCCGCGACCCCAGTGGTGGTTGCGCCTGTGGTAGTCGTAGGCGAAACTTTCCATGCATTTGAGGGGGGGGGGGGTCCGGCACCCAATATTCCAACCAACAATATGAAAGTCATGCCATGTTTGCAACGACTTTCCATCATTCCTAATTGTACGTGTGTGGATACATGTCGATGAAAGTTGGAAAGGAAGCAAGCGAATTTATGCACCCAGTAGATTTCCTACGAAACGAATTTCTCCCCAGCGGACTATCGGGCCCCGTTTCAATGTATGAACCTCAATTATGCGGTTATGTGATGAATGTAGGTATGAAATAACGCGACTCGCAAATATTTTGGTACGCTCGCCTAGCCCGATGTTCGTTGTTTAAATGCACATTCACACCGCAACCACTTCGTGACGTCACTTCCATATGGCCTCCAGCTGTTAGGATGCCGCTTTTACACTCAGTCCACATAGCCTTGGTCGGTGAGATGGGGCACTTGATACATCCATTCCATTTACTCAGAACAGAATAATGTGCGTTCAACAATTATGAATTAAAATCCTGTCGGTATCTTTATTCTTAAGATGCTTATTTTTGGGACAGGAACACCTTTATCGCCCTTGGTTTCTCCTTTTAAATTTAAACAATGTAAATTTCATTACAGCTTTCTGTAAGTATTTCTTACTGCTATTATATAGCTATTTTAGCATAGCTTTCTGTATGCACTCTGAACGCACCACCCATGTCGAGCCGTTTAGTTCAAGGGAGAATTTTGCCTCTGCCCCTTAGCGAGTTGACAGGAATGTAGAGGGTTTGCATGTAGCAGAGCGTTGCGGCGCGGTAGCCCTGAGACTGGGTTTACAAGCAAGAAAACACACATAATTTCTGGATTTGTTGTGGCACTTGTTGAATTGGCTACTTTCAATTTTTTGCTGTATCGTACCCATTACGTATACTTGGAGACATCCACATCCCTTGTCAGCTGTCAACGTTATCCCTCCCCGCTAATACGAACGGAGAGCCTCGAAAAGTACCGGCCTCTATACATGGTGTCGCCAAAGCTTGGTTTCCACATCTGACCACCAGGTGTCTCATCGCCGCCCCGTGCTGCGCGCAGGCTTTCACCGCCGCCACTTCGTGCACGCGTTTGCAGGCGAGCGGCAGATGCTAGCAAACACGTTCGTGCCGTGCATTTGATTGCCAGTGATCGTGTGCGAGAATGAATAAAATAAGCCTGTTTTGGGGCAGACGGCGGATGGTGATGCGAAGATGGCGCTGGCGCGCAGAACCACGGCAATCAAATGTAACGACTTCG